GAAAGCTGTTAATGTCTGGTCTCACAGCTCCCCCTTTAGTCTTGCTGCGCTCCGTGTCTCGCGTTCCCAGCCAGATCAATAGCTGCCTCTCGGCCGACCTTGACCCCTCGCTCGACCCCGCCCTGCTTAGGCTTCTGGCTCCAGGGTACCGACTCTGGCTCTGTCTGCGCTTGGTCAGACAGGGCCTATGCTCTGGACCCCGGGTCAGGCAGGTGTATCCAAAACTCCCTCACACAAATCTACCGGTCTGCGAAGCCTTGTTTAGAATAAAGGTCACTTCCTACACACACACACACACACACACACACACACACACACACACACACACACCGGAGTTCGAGTGACTAACCAAAAGAGGAACCCCTTGCATAAGAACCTCAACATCATTTCTCCTGTACCTGCTATAGGCCTACTGTGTGCTCTGCCCTTGACACAGAATTTAATCGGATACAAGCAAATGAGGAAGAATATAAATATGAATGGCACAAAGCTTTTTGAAGTCCCAAATATTCCCTGCTATTTCCTCCTCGGCCTCACACTCGATTCCCAGAGCGAATCCCCCACAGCCTCCATCCCTTTAAGGAAAGGGGAGTCGTTCTCTATAGTGGAGTCTTCAGAAATTAACATTCATTTCGCCGAATCAACGCGCATTTTTATTAACTTGTGTAGGGTTCTAACTCCCTGTGTGTGCCGCGTGTAACACGACACAGTGGAGGCAGACTGATCCGACCCCACCCCAGCCCCCACCCCACCCACCAAAAAAAAAAAAGGCTTTTTGCTTAAAATTCCTTGAAGGATTTGCAATCCCTGGGCACAGACTGGGGCCTGTGGAAGAGTCTGCAATGTTGTCTTTGCCTTCTGAGCTGTTACATTTCATCTTATGTCTTTTCGAAAATTTGGAAAGCTCTAGATCTAGAAGTGTCAGGGGAAATGGGAAGTCCTGGAGTCCTTGCAGGAAGAAAACTGACATTTCATTTGTTTTTGTTATTTTCTCCTTAACAGGGATCCTCCCTCTGAGATGTAGACAGATAACTTTGGAGCTGTCTGAGGACCCAACAACACAGCTTACCAAATTACTTTGGGTTTCATTTATGGTGCTGAAGAAAAAAAAATTCCTGCAAAAGAGAAGGCAAGTCTTCTCATTTTCACAAGTGTGGGGCAAACTCCGAAGTAAGCTATGCCTGCTGCTTTCTGTTCTCCCAGGCTCTAAACCTCATTGACTGTGAAGACTTGGAAAATTCAATAAACGCTCGGATGGGAGTGCCCACACCTTCTTTTTGAGAAGAACGGCAGCGGAAACCCTAAGTAAGTCCTGTGCACATTAGGAAGGCTCCCAAGATGGCTGTGATGTCTTTCCTCATGATGTAGACTCTTTTTAAATGAATTATTATGTAAAGATGTGTGTGTGGTTTGTAGACTCCGTTCTGTCCTCTCACCTTTCTGTTGGGGCCTTGTGGGATCCAAGTCCTCAGACCTCTCTGCAAACACCTCGGCAGGCTGAGCCATCTCCCCAGCTCTCCCGCACTGGTTTAGAACCTTCAGAGATCAAACCCAGACTGGTGAGTGGATGGGAGAAGCCGGTAAGCCTTCTACACACCACCTAGAATTATCACATGTCCTTTCTGGGTTCAGGGAAGCCTTTGCAGGATCACAGAGGGCTTAGGCCTCAGCACCTAAAGGCTAAATGGTACCCCAAAACTCATCTCTCAGTCTTCTTAGGTCTGCTCTTTTCCTCGTGTCCAAATCAAGATCCAGGAGGCTTTTGTTACAACACAAGCCACTGCATCTTCTTTTCTTTTTTTATATATATATATTTTTTCTTCCACTAAGACTTGGGCTCGGTACCATAGTAGATTTTTGACAATCATGGGCTTGAAATAGGCCCGAGGGGGGTTGGGGGGTGGGGACGGGGAAGGGGTGAGGGGGCGGGAGGAGGAGCGTTGACTACATGATAGAGGCATTCTTGACTGCCTTCTCTAAGTCTGTAGCCTAGAAGACTTAAGCCAGTTTCACTGCTCCCGATTCCTGTTTTATTTTCCTTTAGAAATATTTTTAATTAAAAAAAAAAACTTTGCCCAGCTTCCAGTTCCCTGTATGTGAAAAAGACTCACACCCACATTGAATGTTCCTAACTCTAACCCTGTCATCAGAAGTGATATTGAATGGCTCGGTACTAGGGGATCTGGAACTATTTCTATATCCTTCTCACCTCGTTTGGAATTTTCTTGCCTTGCTAATTTTAATTCTTTAGTTGAGTCATCAATTCAAATTGGGTAGGGAAGCCATCACCCTGTTGGGAGAGACACCGCCAGGCCTGTGTCCCCACCTCTCTGGAAGACTGGGGTGAGAGTACTGGGTGGGTACTCACACATGGTGCCCACTCAGGAGTCTGAGTTCGGTGGTCTGGTGACCAAGCCACCTGCTCCGTTTAGAGCAGAGACAAGGCTGCCGGGAGGTTCAGAAGAGTGGAAATGGTTCCTTGCGGGGAAACACGGGGATTCAGAAGGGAGTTTTCAGTCCCGACTCTGGCTGCCAGGCTGTGGCTGAGAACTGGGGCGACAAGGAGGTGCCTGGTGATAAGAGATGGGGGGGGGCTGGGGATGGAGGCAACCGTGAGGATCACCTTCCCAACAAGGCTTTGATGAGGCTGTGAGGATTAATTAGCTTGTATCCTTAAGCAGTACGAGAAGGAGGAAGTTTCGGGAAATGTGAAGCTGGAGTTGTAGACAAGTTTGATTCAATTGAGAGCTGCCCCCACCCCCAAGGCCCAGGATGTGAAAACTCCTATCTGTGCTGTAATGCACTACAGAGGAAGTGAGGGGGAAGGAGGGTTTCGAGAAGAAAGAAGAAGGAACAAGAAGCATGAGTCAGGCTAGCATCCCTCCCGAAAAGGCACAAGGCGCAGCAGCTAATGAGAACACTGCAAGGGGGCGCTTATCAAAAAAAAAAAAAAAAAAAAAGAAAGAAAAGAAAGAAAGAAAGAAAGGAAAAAGAAAAAAGAAAACCCAGCCAACACCTTGCTTCAGTGACGCCTTCCAGAGCTGGAAAAGCAAAATGAGAGCTCATCTGTTTTTTTTCTTCATTTTAGAAACAGTCACACACACGCTTTCGAGTGAATTCAACAAGGATAGCTTACATCCTAGAAAATATGTGACTGAAATCCCCCTGCTGAAGAGGAAAGGGTTAGAACTGCAGACCCACAAAGGCTGGGCAACAGAGTTCCTGGGGGCTGGGGGTCGGCATCTCTATGGTGTATAGAAATGTTAAGATGTTCCATATTCAAACATACATTGTTGAGTGGTAGAGGCAGGAGAACCAGGTGTTCAAGGTCATCCTCAGGCACATAGCAAGTTCAAGGCCAGCCTGGACTGCCTGTCACTCTGTATCAAAAAGAGAAAGGAAAAACAGAAGGGAGAGAGGGAGGGAGGGAGGGAGGGAGGGAGGGAGGGAGGGAGGGAGGAAAAAAGAAAGTAAAATATAATATAAAATAAAACAAAATGTACGTTAGCTTGAAGATGCATTTTGGGTACCATTTACAAGGCAGACAATTTACCACAACAAAAGACGATGAATGCCGCCCAAGGGAGAACTAAGATGCTGAGTTGCCGTACATTCTGATATTAGTTTAATCTGGGTCTTTAAAAAAATGATTTCACTGTGATCTTAAGCCTCTGGGATCTTTGAAACAACAATGGCTTCTAAAATATAGATGTGGTGGTAATATTCCCCATCTAAACTTGCAACAAAGAACCCGCCTTGCGCTTGCTTTCTCCCACAAGTCTCTCAGGGACCACTAGCAGGAGTCCATTTCCGGCCTGTGTCCAGCTCACCCTGACGATCTGGAGTTTAAACGGGGCAGATTTATGGTCAACTGTTAAAGTCTACATTTGGACCCCCAGATGTAGACGGTGGCTTCGTCAGCTGCTGGGATTCGGCACAGGCATCTGCAGCTTCATTATTTCTATCTGCTTAACAGGGACAATTAGAGAACAGAAGAGTGGGGACGCCTGTTTGGGGACTGGTTCGGTATTGTACCCAGACCACACATTCGGGCTGGGAAGGAAGACAGTAATGTATAAAGCATTAGTGGATTTAACACTGTGCGCCGTGCTTGGGGGATCGAATTGTCAATGTTTCTGGCAAGAACTCGCACTCCAATTGAAATCTATCACACACCTTAATTAGCTCCGAGTACCTAATGCACCCAACCCAGAGGCAAGTTGGAAAGCAGAGGGAGAGGACAGGAGCTGGAAAAGAGGCGATGCGGGACCTGCTCCCAGGGGTGCCCTGCGCTGCCCCGCCCCGCCCCGCCCCGTTTTCAGAATGGAGTGTATCAGCCACGAGGCTGAGGACAAATGTGACTCACCACCTCGGCCCCAGAGAACATTGATGGAAGGCGTTTGGATGGCCTGACCCACATTGACTAAGGGGGATGAGACGAGGCCATGGTGACACAAAGCTGTTGCCGACAGTAACCGGAGCCTTTTTTTTTTTCCTGAGCCAACCATCCCACCTGGACCTCAGCACAAATTATTGTTTTCAATTACCACCTGTGTATTCCTTCCCATGCAACTTATTGATGTAAAATTACTGCTACAGCGGTATAAATAAGTTATACCGCAGTTGTAAAATGGAAGAAATTTTGTTGTAGCAATTATGTTCAGCAAGATGACAAAATAAATTTCCAGAGCTGTGCCTGCAGTAACCTGGGGAATTTAAACCTCATAATTTCCATTCATTTCAGATAATTTGGAGTAATTTCTATATGTAATAACTTTGTAATGAAAAACAGCAGTACTGAAGTGATTTCACTCTGTTTTCTCCTCCTATGGTATACATGGCACAAAATAAATGATAAAAATAATATTTCCTTTTTATATGTGTGTGTGTTGAGTAATTCCTTCAGTAAAAATCATAAACTAATACCCAGACTAAATCTCTGTCCACAAAATGAAAAATAAATTGAGTTAGAGGAATGAGAGAGAGTGGAAGGCTTTGGATGTTTTATTGTGACTTTATTGAGTTGTCTGAATCTCAGGCTCTTCCTGATCTCTGAAGGTTACCGTTCCAAAGCAAGAGATGCAGAGAGGTAAGATCCCCAGGCTTCCATAGGGGACCTGCACGGAGATCCCCCAAAACTTGGAAGCCCTCTCCCAGGTGGCCATTTCTCAGCCCTGGCCTGTTCCAATAGTATCTGTCCTCGCTCAGGCTCAGCGGAATGAATGGCTGGCTCCCATCAAGGTCCTGTTTCAGAAGAAATGAGATTTACTTATTCATTATTTTGTGCATGTGGGTGTTTTACCTGCTTGCTTGTATGTACACGGGGCACGTAGCTGGTACTCGCCAAGGTCAGGAAAGGGCATCAGATCCCCTAGAACTGCCGTCCTGGATGACTGTGAGCCCCACTTGGGTGCTGGGAACTGAATCTGAGTCCTCTTCAAGAGGAGCAAATACTCTTAGCCCCCGAACCACCTCTCCAGCACTACAGCAAGACTTCACCAGCAACGTTCACTGACACGAGGAAGGAGCTTTCAGGTTGGACAGTGGCCGAGTAGGTTCTGACATATTTCCTCTTTTAATTAAAGACTTGGCAAGGTGGCACTGTGCTCCCCCACTGCTCTGGTGCCCTGCCAGACCCCTGCCAGTGACACATGCGACTGATGTACACAGTCTCTGAACGCCACACGTTATTCATCAGAAGCTCCTAGTGATCTGTGAGAAAGGGGACAGGAATTACAGCGTCTGCATTAGCTCTGGGTTCCATGCAATTAGCCTCCGCCACCACCATGGCGTCCATCAAGAACTTCTACTAAGTGAAAAATGGAGGCCAGGTCTAAAGCTGGACTTCAGAAGTGACGAGTAGACCTGTAGACACACTCCTCCTACTAGCCCTAAGGGCTGCCTGTGGCCTGGGATGAGAGATACTTCCTAGCCTGTAAACCCCGCCCTCCCTTGCTACTCCCAGGATGCATATGGGCAGGCATGGGCTAGAAAGGGTGCCCAGTTGCTGAGCAATGTATGGAAAGTCATGACTGTCTCTGATTTAGGGTGTCTTTGACATACAGCCTCAGCACACCTGTGAGCTGACAGTCCCGGCTTCTGCCACACAGCAGTACCGTTACAGATACCCTGGTACTTCTCCTTGGACACACCTTAACAAGCACTCTGTGACTGAGACAGCAATTCTACGTAAGGGCTAATACCCAGGTTTCTAGTTCAAACAAACCTAAACACAATATATCATTCCAATGACATCAAACAAAAGGCAATGACAGCTGTCTGGACTGGGGACATCGCAGCCCCCTACATGTACTTGTGGCTGTCTGTCCCTCTTACTGAGTTCAACATTGCAATCCTCTCCAGGCCTCCTGAGTCACAGAGATACTCTGCCTAAATATGTTTGTCAGGGGTTTGTATTAGCTCATTCTAGGAAGAGAGAGACCATCAAGAGAGACCATCACCATTAGACTGGGGATGCTAAAGTCCATCCCCCAGGCCTGTCCCCACAAAAGCACGACTCTGCCATCCACCCAGCGCATTCCAACCATCCTCCAACCAAGAAGAGGGTACCAGAGTCATCACTAGACCTAGGACTAGAATAGGGGGTGCCAAAAAGCTCAAGGTAGATCGGGACATGAAGGAAGGAAAGGAGAAGTACGAATTCGGAACTGAGCAAGGACACCCGCTCAACAGAAGAGACTGGGCAGGGCTTACGGGAAGTAAAGGCATGACCATGGTCAGGAAAACAAACAACAGAGAGAAAGTGGTGAGGAATGAAAGAGGAAAGTGTCTGGAGCATCTTCTCAGACAGAACAAATGGGGCCCGGCAGAAGGTTCTGAGGGTGAACTGCCAGGCAGCCCATCGCCTGCTGCCGGAATAGAGTTCGAAAGCATGCAAAGAGTCCTTTTGCCTCTGAGGCTGAGTTTGTCCTTCCTGAAGCTCTGTAAGACGCTCAGGGTGGGCACCAACATGGTGCCAACATCCTCACAGACCTGGGTTCAAGTCCATGCTCCATCTGCCATAAGCTAGGCAAACTGCTGCCCTACTAAGCATCCCAGGCCCTCCTGTGTCAGGCCACAGCCTCGGTCAGGAGTTCCTCAGGGAACCACGCAGAAAGTCACAGGACGCAGCACACTGTAGGCATTAACAGATTATAGATAATACTATGGAGGTCAGTGTCCAGTTTTACAGGAGTTCACGTCCAGTTCAATCCACGGCACACACCTCAACATTTTCATCCAAAAGGAGAAACTTTTTCCTGGTCCTGTGACTTCACAGCTAGTATTGATAAAGCAGCTTGCCATGGTTCATTTGTGTTGCTATAGCAAAACACCTGGAGCTGCCAATTTATACAGAATGGAAATACATTTCTCACAGCTCTGTAGGGTAAAGAAGAAGGTCAAAGACCAGTGAGGATTTCCAGGGTGGTACTGTGTCTGCCAGAAAGGACCAGTACTGCCAGGAGTTGGTGGCACACGCCTTTAATCCCAGCACTGGGGAGGCAGAGGCAGGCGGATCTCTGTGAGTTCGAGACCAGCCTGGACTATCAAGCGAGTTCCAGGACAGCCTCCAAAGCCACAAAGAAACCCTGTCTCAAAAAAAAAAAAAAAAAAAAAAAAAAAAAAAGAAAAAAAGAAAGAAAAAAAAAAGGACCACTACTGCGTCTCCTGCAGTAGAAGACAAAGAGAAGACTCCCCGCACCACCACTGCCTGTCCCTTTATAAGGCACTAACCGTTTGTGATGATGGAGTCCCCTTGATTCATTCCCCTCCTACCCCTTAACGTCACGGATAAGGAAGTTGAATCAATAGGAATTCTGAAGGACGCATGCACAAGCTGTCCACATCTGCTCAGAGCTATATACCAGGCTGAAGTTTAAGAATATGCAGAGGGAAAAAACGTCTAAATCTGTGCCTCCAACTGCCTCATCTGTCTTAAAGCAGACTGCTCGGGCTCCGCCTACTCGCCTCTGTCTGTGACTGATACATTCTGGTGTAACCAAGTCGGAGCCATCTAGGTAAAAGACCAAATACATTCACAAGCCGGGAAAACCATACCCGTGGACAGTGGCAGGAAAGAACGCCTCTATGGCTAGGTTGTCCTCTCAGACACGAGGTGGGCGGATCCCCGTTCTTCGTTTTCTCTTGGTCACCAAGTTGCAATGGGCTGCGTTTGTGGTTTTTATAATCCAACAGTCAAAATTAAAAATTTAAATCTACAGCGTCTGAACCATTTGGTTCAGAGAGAGAGAGAGAGAGAGAGAGAGAGAGAGAGAGAGAGAGAGGATGCAGACTATTATTTTAGACTATTATTGGAAGTGGGAAGACTAGATGAAGATTTGGAAATGACAACCACCATTTTGTTAGGATTATGAGATTAAAGGGGCTTTTGAAAGAACTTTATCATCCAAGCCACCTGCCCTGGTACTGGAGTCTTAAGTCATGTTTTCTTCTTTCGTTTTTAAGACAAATATCTTTCTATATAGCCTGGGCTCCTGTTTCAACCCCTGTAGTGCTGGGATCATAGGCACTGTGTCCAGGCTTCCACATACATATCTATAGTATTATGCAGTAGTTCTTTATCCAAGAATCAGACACCAGCGACTGTTCTATGAAGCAAGGGACTGTGACCTTGAGGTCCAGTAAGGCTGCTGTCCCCAAGTGAGACCATCCTGGCACAGAGGGGACTGCTTGGACTGGACCTGTCCTAAGAAGCAGCACCCTTCCTGTTCTTGCCTTCTACACAGGGGCCTTCACCTGATTAGTGTTTACTAACACTCAGGAGGAAATGTCCCCAAAGCTGTCCTCAGAGAGTCCAAGCTGGCTGGTTTGAATGCCCTCCTGGCGACAGTGGCAGAGCCTGGTGGCCTTGCTCTCTTCCTGCACAGAAAGCAGTCTCACTGGGCTCACTGCCGGGCTGAGTTCAGGGTAGAGACATGCAGACACTCAAAGTCAGGAATGTCCTCCCGGGCCTCCTCCTCCTCCCCACCTTCTGTCATCCGGGGAGATAATTCATTTATGCAGCGTTCACAGAAGACTGACATTTTCAACTTTTTTAGCAGAATAAATTTATAAGGTAAATTAGGGGGTGGGAGCCTGAGTGTCCTAGGCAGATTCAAACTGGTAATTACAGAGGGCCTAATTATGCATTCACGACAGAGCCTTCTGGGATGGGGAAGGCTACAGGATGGTCCCTGTTCTCCTCACAGAGGACAATCCCCTGAGCCTCCTGGAAGCTTTGCACCAAACCTTTCAGAAGCTTTTGCTTCCATCTCTGAGTCTTCTCTGGAGGCCCTCATGCCCTCAACGTCCATGAGACTGGAGCAAATCCTCACCCTCTTCAGAGGACCCAGACACCCACCCCCCACGAGTGTCCACCAAGAGCCAGGAGCCCAGAGAGCCCTCAGACATTGGGTCTCGACTTGAATAAAACAAAAGGCACAATAGCAGGCAGGAAACTTGAGATCTTCCTCTGTCCCATCTTCCCAAGGTCCGTCCAGGAGTTCTAGACCCAAATCTGCCAGCTTCTGGGATCAATGTATCCTGTTCACCAACATGTCTCCAGGACCCAGAGCACTACAGAGACAGGATGTATGCTGTGGTCTCCTCCATCTCACCAGAACTTGACTTGGCCTCAGCACAGTCAATGAACAAGCAGACAGACAGACAGACAGGGAGGGAGGGAGGGAGGGAGGGGTGTGAAAGCAAGAGGGGCCAGTAAAGGTACCCTATGACCCTCGCTGAAGGACAAACAAGCCGGCCTCAGCAAAGCTGCCGATTGGCTGCAGGGAAGCCACGCCCTTCCCACATGGCACAGTGCTCACCAGCTGCTGAAGGAATACACCTATTTTGAACATAAAGTCCTCTTTCTATTCGCCCCCCCATTCATTTCCCACTACATCTCTGCTTCCAGGCCTCGTGTCGCTCACTGCGCATGGCATTTTATCACAGAGTAGACCGCGCCTTCCCCCAAGTATGTTCGAGTCCTAGGGTCCTTAGGTTTGTCGCTCTTGACGCTGTCACAAGACACCTGGCCTTAGAGTTAAAGGGCTCTCTGTGGTTGGTAGTTTCAGGAGCTTTGTCCAGTCCATCGTGAAGGAGAATGGAACACGCAGTGAGCCAGACACCCACATCACAGCAGCCTGGAAGCAGAGAAAAAGGATGCCTGGCTTCCTCTTCCTCCTCCCCAACTCCACCAGGGCCCCCAGTCTCGGGGCTCCCTATCTGATAATCCTCTCTGGAATACCTACAAGGGCATTTGACATCCACATGCTCACCACCCCACACTGTCATCCCGGCTGCACGGGATGCAGCCTGAAGCCAGAGGGCATGGAAAGCCTGCTGACATGAAGGAAGCTTACCCCGCGTGGTGCAGCTGCAAAGGGAACCCTGACAGACGCCCAAGAGCAGTAACAGCTGGACAGAAGGCATCCTGGCCCCAGCCGTTCAGCCTTATCCTGTCGCACCATCCGGAACCCCACAACAGCCTCTGGTCCCCACACAGCCCCTGCACCTAGTTCAGGCTTCAGTTGCTACCACAGGGTTTGGTTTAAATAAGACTTCAGTACAGGAAACACTGGGGCTGAAGGATATTCACTGTGGTCCTCAAATCACACCTTCCCTGTAACCACATAACCAGCATCGACATGAACCGATCGTAAAGCAAGACACTCAGCCCTGAACCTTTGCAGCCCCTGAGGTGTCAGCTTGGTGAGTGTGGTCAGGTTTCATTTTCATCGTACAGAACAGTGCTTCTCAACCTTCCTGATGCTGGGACCCTTTAATACAGTTCCTGGTGTCGTGGTGACCTCCCCACACCACAACCAGAAAATTACTTTTGTTGCTACTTTGTAACTATAATTTTGCTACTGTTATGAGTCGTAATGTAAATATCTGATATGTGAACTCAGAGGGGTCCGGAGAACCACTGGTGTAGAGACGGAAAAGGCAAGGGTCTCGGGCTGGAAGGACTTCTTGATCGTGCCACTGAGTCCCACACACTGGCTTTGGTTAAGACCTGACCTGCTTTTGACTTAGAACTGTTTCGATTTAATATTCCTGCACAGAGCCCTCCCACCTGGCTCCTGCGGGGGGGGGGGGGGAGGGCTGAAGGCCACCCCTTGGTCCTTGTGATGCTGGGCAGCCTTATCTCAGTGCCCACCCAGGCAAGGGCCATTGCTGGTTGGCTCTGCCTCCCTAGCAGGCAAATAGAGAATTCACACTTCTGACAAGCGCTGGTTCACACTGGGTCAGTCACCACCTGCTGCAACTTTGGTCAAATGCAGCGGGCTGATGAAGTTTAGGGGTCAGACCGTGACCTTCACAAGGAGTGGAGTGCAGGGCAGGGACTGTGCCTCTACAGGGTACAGCTGCACATGTGACGTCTGCTTCCCCAACACCCCACACTGTCAGTTCACCAGAGTCCCCCGATACAGTTTGGGAACCAAGCGGGACAGCTTGTCAAGGAAGCCCAGCCAGCAGAGGCAGACACTGGTCCTCACCCCGATTAGCATGGTTGGTCAGGATCAGCCAGGCTGTGCTGCTGGAACAATGAAGCCTTGTATCCAATGGGCTTACACTGGGAAAAGTCACATCTTTGCTTACACCTTAGGCTTTCTATAACCCTCTTGGCTCTGCTAGCCACATCTGATGGGCTCCAGGACCTCTACACACAGGAAGGAGTCGGGGAAGTCACAGTAACTCTTAAGCCCAAAAGAGGGGGGGAGGGGCTGGAAAGCTTGCTCTTCTGCTCACGGCCTATTGGCCAGAGCTAGTCACATGACCAAGTAACTGCAAAGGAAGCTGGGAAATGTATGCAAAGCAGGTTCCTGTCAGAGAGCTGTGCCTGTGTATTATTGCCCTAGGAGTGTGCTTGGGGTGAACTGAAAGGGTAAATGAGCCTTCACAATTCTACTAGGGACAAGGCCGGGGTGAAGGAAAGAGGGAAGGAACAGGCTTCATCACTATGTTTAGGCTTTTTGCCTTCTGAGCCGTTGGGTTTTCTCTTCCCACCCTCTGCTATTTACCGAGTGTGACTGGTTTCCTTACCACACACTCACTGGACTGGCCCCGCCCCACAGAAGAAGGCTGAGGACTTCCTGGCTGCAGAGACGTCTTGGTCTAGAAGCTGTTTCCCTGCTGGTGCAATCTGCCACCAGGAGCAAACACACCTGAGAGATTTAAAGGTGACCTGTTAGCTCCTTATGAATAGTGGTTCACAGACCCGGCCCTCTAATCCTAAAACTTGTCCATTAGGCAAGTCAATCAGGAGTCTTGAAAGCTCTGTGAGGTGGGTGTGGAAGATAATGTTTCCCTTCAAAGCCCTCAAAACCATGTTTGATGGATAGATTTGGAACAGAAATTCTAAGCTGGAAAGAGCCAGGAGATAATGCAGTCCACCTACCTTAAGGGGGAGTTGGAGGCCAAGTGGTGTGAGCAGGCTTCATGCCCTGATTTCCAGGCCTGTGTCAATATCTCTACCCTGCAACGTCCCCTGCCATACACACACACACACACACACACACACACACCAACTTTCCCTTATCCTGTCTCAATTTGTCAAGCAACCAAAGGGAACATAGAAATCAGTTTCCAGCCGGGCGGTGGTGGCGCACGCCTTTAATCCCAGCACTCGGGAGGCAGAGGCAGGCGGATCTCTGAGTTCAAGACCAGCCTGGTCTATAAGAGCTAGTTCCAGGACAGCCTCCAAAGCCACAGAGAAACCCTGTCTCGAAAAAAAAAAAGTCAGTTTCCAGTCAGTCTGACAAAGGAGACTTGGAGATGGTGGGTCCAGGTGCCCAGGACCACACTGGGTGACAAAATGATTGGGGTCGTGTAGAGACTTGAGTCATTAAAGAGGGGAAGTGGAGTCGTTTATTTTTCACAGTTCTGAGGCAAGGCAATGAAGACGCTAGTGCAGTGGTTCTGAACCTGTGGGTCGTGACCCCATTGGGGGTCAAATGACCCTTTCACAGGGATCGCATATCAGATATCCAACAGATCAGATATTTACTTCACAAGTCGTAACAGTAGCAAAATTACAGTTATGATGTAGCTATGAAATAATGCTATGTTTGGGGGTCACCACACCATGAGGACTATATCAAGGGGTTGCAGCCTTAGGAAGGGTGAGAAGCACTGCTCTAGCATGTCCAGGTTGGAGCGAGTACCCGCTGTCCGGCTGGCCGACTATCTTCCTGGTAAGTCCTCAGCAGCGGAGAGACAGCATGACAGGGGTGTCTCCTCTGATAAGACCACAAGTCTATGGGTGGGGCTCCATCCTTTACTAACCACTATGTTCACTGCTGGGACAAAATACTTACAAAATCCACTTAGGGCAGGCAGGCTTTATTTTGTGTCACAGTGTAAGGGTGTGACCACTCGTAGTGGTGACGGCATGGCAGCTGGACTTTGAGACAGCTCATCACATGTGCCCACTCTCAGGGAGCAGAGAGAGATGAATGGTTATCTCGAGCTTCTATTCAGTCCAGGGTCTCATCCCAAGGAGTGGCGCTGCCCCCCTCCATTCAGTGAACCCAATCTAGATAATTCCTCACAGAGATGCCCAGAGGCTAACCTAATCTACATAATCGCTTATATAGGCATGCCATAGTCTTGTCTCCTAGGTGACTCTAGATTCTGTCAAGTTGAAATATTTATTAGCCCTCAAAGACCACCATGAGCCAGGCACCCCCTCCCAAGATCCCAGCTCTTGCTTCACACGAGGCTTCCGATGTTCAGATTGGAAAGGTCACATTATTCCATAACAACTTCCAAGTTCCCTGCCTCTGCCCACCCTCATCATAGCCTTGTGGTTCCTGTTCAAGGTCTGAGGAGCCACCCTTGCCCCAGACAAAGAATCTTCCTGCTGGGAGGCCACAGCATTCTCAAGGAATCCAAGGACTTACTCGTAAGAGAAGTAGGCATCCAGAAGGCAGAGGACATGAGTGTCACTGATGCTCAGTGGGACCTCAGTGTGAGGAAAGATCCGTCCGACAGCCCTTCCGTGTCAAACGTGACGTCATAAGAGCTTGTCTCAGCTACTCTACCACGCTCTTGTGCCTGCTGAGTTTCTCTTGATGTCAAGCATAGGAGAAAATGAAAACAACTCCAAGGTTGTAGGGCCCCTGCCAGAAGGCAGGAACTGTCTCTAAGGAAGTGCGCTGTCACTGGCAGGATGGACAGGATGCCACTGTGCACAGGAACCCTGAGAGCCCACATTTCCATCTGTCACAGGTGGGAAATAAAGGCCACCAGGAGCAGGTCTTGACACAGCTTCTGCAGAGAGAAACGTGAAGATGTGGGACAGGACTAGGGGTGCAGCCACCGATGGGGAGAGGGGAGCAACTGGAACTCTCTGTACATCCCGTCTGGTGAAGAGTATGTGGGGCCATCTTTGAAGTTCAGTTACCAGGGAAGGATGATCATCCAGGCTACAAGCTGTGAGGAGCTGGTAACTAGAGTATTGGGCTCTATACATTGACTGCAGCCATGAGGAGGTCCCTGGTAGTCTTGGAGAGATCTTATGTAGTTCTGAACACAAGTGAGGACTGGTTGGACCCCTCAATTCACACTCCCTCTGCGCATAGCAGCACTACACACGGCCTCACTGGCCATCTCCACTTGTACCCAATGCCCCACCCCCAGACTGAGCCCCGCACACCCCACTACCTGAGTAGGTTCCTGCTTCTCCTCACTCTGAGCCTGAGGCTGAGTTCTAAAAGTCCTTGTTGTACTAGTTGCTTTTGACAACTTCGCACAAACCTAGACACGGCCAGGAAGAGGAAATCTCAATTGAGGATTTGCCTCCACGCTATTGGACTGCAGACAAGGCTGTAGAGGCAGGCTCTGTTTTGTTTCGTTTTTATGATGATTGGTATGGGAAGGCCCAATCACTGTGGGCAATACCACCACTAGGCAGCTCAGCCTTGGGTGTATAAGAAAGCAGGCTGAGCAAGCTGTGAGGAGCAAGACAGTGAGCAACCTTCCTCCATCGGCTCTGCTTCAGCTCCCGCCTGAGTTCTGCCCCCCACTTCTTTTCATGATGAACCGTGACCAGTGCCCTTAAGTCAAATTAACCCACAGAAAGCAAACTAGGGCATTTCCCCAAACCTGGCATTCCCTAACTGGTGGTCATTGTTCAAAGCAAACCCTGCACATCATCCTGGACTTTCTCTTGCCACTCACCCAGCATCCAACCCATCACTGCATCCCATTGATCCAGCCCTTCTGCAACACAACCAATTCTTACCACCCTCCTGGACCAAGAGACTTCCCGGCTGGTCTTCCTGTTTCCGACCCTGTGTTTATTCTCAAGAGGCATTAAGCCTTTAAGGTGCAACACTGTCTTAGGGTTTCTATTGCTGTGATGAAACAGGATGACTGAAAAGCAAGTCGGGGAGGAAAGGGTTTATTTGACGTGCACTTCAGCATTGCTGTCCATCATCGAAGGAAGTCAGGACAGGAACTCAAACTGGACAGGATCCTGAAGACAGTAGCCAATGCAGAGGCCATGGCTTGCTCAGTCTGCTCTCTTTCTTTTTTCTTTTGTTTTTTGTTTGTTTGTTTGTTTGTTTGTTTTTTGAGACAGGGTTTCTCTGTATTGCTTTGGAGCCTGTCCTGGAACTCGCTCTGTAGACCAGTTTGGTCTCAAACTCAGAGAGCTCCGCCTGCCTCTGCCTCCCATGTGCTGGAATTAAAGGCGTGCTCCACCAACACCCGGCTCAGCCTGCTTTCTTATAGAACCCAGGACCACCAGCCCATGGATGGCACAATGGACCGGGCCTTCCCCCCATTGAGCATTAATTTAGAAAATGCCTTACAGCTGGTCCTCATGGAGTCATTTCCTCGACTGAGGCTCCTTCCTCCTCTCTGATGGTTCTTGCTTGTGTCAACTTGACACACAAACACATCAATATTAAGCCATAACCTTTTCTTTCTTACTCATCCCCAAGATCTCACATTAAAAATCATAATTTTTATAATATTTATTTATTAATTAATACAACATCCTGCCTCCATGTATGCCTGTACTCTAGAAGAGGGCACCAGATCTCATTACAGATGGTTGTGAGCCACCATGTGGTTGCTGGGAATTGAACTCAGGACCTCTGGAAGAACAGCCAGTTCTCTTAACCTCTGAGCCATCTCTCCACCCTAAAATCATAATATTAAAAGTCCCACAGTCTTTACAAATTCAAACACATTTAAATTGCAGTCTTTAAAATATCCAATCTCAGCCAGGCAGTGGTGGCACAGTCTTTAATCCCAGCATTTGAGAGGCAGAGGCAGGCAGATCTCAGTGAGTTCAAGGCCAGCCTGGTCTACAAAGTGACTTCCAGGACTATTACACAGAGAAACCCTGTCTCAAAAAAATCCATTGTCCTTAAAAGTTAAAGTCTCCATCTGTGGGCCCCTTTAAAAAGCAAAATTAAATTAAACAATTTCTTCAAGAGGGAAGAATCGGGCCATTGTCCAAACCTGAACCAAGCAAAATAAAAACCTGACAATATAAATAACTCAATTCCCAATTACTTGGGATTCACTCACAGTCGTCTGGGCTCCTCCTTAAGGCTTGGCCTCTTCTCCAGCTCTGCCCTGGGTAGCACAGACAGCGCGTCTTCTAGGATCTGGCTGGTTCCGCTGCTGCTGCTGTTCTTGGTGGTCATCCTGTGGTACTGGTGTCCCCAAAATGCCGGGGTCTTCTGCTGCAGCCGGGCTGCACTTTCACCAACGGCCTCTCAATGGCTCTCCTCACAATGCCAGGCTCAGCTTCCCTGCACGACCCCTTCAGTCCTGGGCCTTCAACTGCCACGGAGGCTGCGCCCTCTGCTGCAGCCGGGCTGCACTTTCACCAACGGCCTCTCACGGTGCCCAGCCTCAGCTGCTCTCCATGACCCCCTTCATGCCTTCAAAACCAGCACCACCTGGGTGACGCTTACCAATAACCAAGTCCAGTTGCCAAAACGTGAGGTACAACCTTGACTACCTCTGGAACACAGCTTCTCTGTGCTCTCAGGAAACACTTCCCAGAAGATTTCACCTCGGTGATGCTGGTCTCCTCTTAATCACTACTAATTTCTTTGCTCCAGCAGACTACGATCAAGTATCCCAATAAAGCAAAGTTCCTCTTTGGTAATTCTGGTATCTTGCTAACCACAGTTGGTTCTTCAGCCCCCAGCTAGCCAGAACCACAGAACCTTAATTCAAAATAACAAATGGCCCTGATAGAATCTTTAAACTTCCCTCTGAAACTTCTGCACTGCTCTTAACATTTCTACCTTCCAGGCTCCTAAAGAATATCCCACTGAGTTATTAACACTAAGTGGTTCTCCTAGTCCAAAGTTCCAAAGTCCTTCCGCAATCTTCCACATTGTGAGTTCTGTCACAGTATTACCCCTACTACATTGGTACAATTTGCATTATTTTAGGTCCAATTCCTGTAATGAAAACCATGACCAAAAAGCAAGTTGCTGGGGAACAGCACTTGAGCAGTGCTGTTCATAATTAAGGAAGTCAGGACAGGAACTCAAACAGGGCAGGATCCTGGAGACAGGAGCTGATGCAGAGACCATAGAAGGATGTGACTTGCTTTCCCTGGTTTGCTCAGCCTGCTTTTTTTTATAGATCCCAAGACCACCAGCCCAGGTATCGCACCACCCACCATGTGCTAGGCCCTCCCCCATTGATCACTAATTGAGAAAATGCCTTACAGCTGGATCTCATGGAGGCATTTTCTCAACTGAGGCCCCTTCCTCCCTGATGACTCTAGCTTGTGTCGAGTGGACACGAAAACCCAGCCAGCATAAAAAGCAGATCATGACACCATTCTGGTGGAAACTACATCACTCCAAGTATGAAGCAAAGCCCAGACAGCAATCTGTGCAGGAGATCTTTTCCCCATCACACCCTGCTGGCTTCACCACTACTCGCTGTTCCTCCATCACCATTCCTCAAGGCATGCTCGGGGCCTTTTCATCTGCTCTGTCCTGTCACTTGTCTCCTTTCTCTCACAGCCAGTTCTAGCAAGTCCCTTCTGGGTCAGACTACTTTCCACTGAAATTCCAGCAACTTGGGTGAAATGGGAAGATTCCTTGAAAAGAGTTGTTTATCAAAACTGACACAAGAAGAAACAGAAAAAATTAGAGTCATGTCTATTCAAGACTCCCTTTTAGTTTATGACCTTCCGTCTCTCCCTGCCCGTGCCCGCCCCCACCCCAAAAAGTTATTCTCAAATGCTTAACCTGCAAACTCCTTTAAACACTTCAGGAGGAAGTACCAATTTTACACTCATTTCTAGAAAATGGAGGAAAGGGAAAGACTACTATGATCATTTTGTGAGAATTAACTATGATCAAAATCTAACGAGGACATTAATAGAAAAGAAGATTGAAGAACTATAACCCTCATTCACCTAGATGACAGAGTCCTAATCAATTTCTGTGATCTATGGTCATGAGTGAGTGGGGTGTATTGATTGATCACTCAACACATGATGCCCTTATGTAGAAAAGCTTCTGGAATATAGCATTAAATGAAAAGTATAAGAGTGTCCATAGAATACTGCATTTAGAGTAACAGGAAAAGATAGGAATGAAAAATAAATACTTAGGCTAGGGAGATGACTCGATGAGTAAAAACGTGAGCTGTGCAAGCTTGAGGTCCTGAGTTTGAATTCCTACGCCTAGAAAACCAGTCAGGGTAGCAGCATCTGTAACTCCAGGGCTGAGATGAGGGGATGGTGACAAGAGAATCTCTAGAAGCTTGTGGTTCAGCTATCCTGTGTATACAGCAGCAGTCAACAAAGACACCATGTCTCTAAGAAGAAGGAAGGCAAGAACCAACATCTGAGGGCATTCTCTGCCACCGCTGATTATGGTATACATATTTGAACGCTTGTTCACATGCGTGCATGCGCACACACACACACACACACACACACACACTACTTATATCAGTGCGCTTGAACGAAGAGAAGCAGGAAGGTACAGTGGGAACAGAAAGTGAGTCTGTTTCTGGGCTAGTTTGTTCCCTCCTGAGAGGGAACCACATATGCAGTGGCCTGAACAGGTAGTTCCCACAGTTTTAGTCCAGGGTCAAGGTGTCAGCAGAGCTGGTTTCTCTGCAACTTTTTCCCTCAGCTTAGACAGCTCCCTCTCTTATCCAGATACCCAACATTTGGATGAAGGCTCACCCACGTGACTTCACGTAAGCCAGCCAAGGGTGGCGATATGTATCTATAATCTCAGCACTGGGGAGGTAGAGACAGGTGAATGCCTAGACTTCGTTGGCCAGCCAGCATAGCCTAATTAGTGAGGTTCAGGCCAAGGAGAGACTTTACTTCAAAAATAAGCAAATGATAGATAGATAGATAGATAGATAGATAGATAGATAGATAGATACATAGATAGATAGATACATAGATACATAGATACATAGATACATATATAGATACATAGATAGATACATAGATAGATGGACAGACAGACAGATGGATTGGAGGCTGCATAGACAGACAGACAGACAGACAGACAAGATGTGCAGCATCGGGGAACAACAGCACAGGTTGCTCCCTGGCCTGCACACACATGTGCTCTCACAAGCTGTGTCTCCAAGTACAATCACTGTCTGAGTCTTGCACTTCAGCACAGGAATTTAAAGAGATTGCAGCACAGTCCCTCAGAATTTGTGAGAGGCAGAGAGAGAGGCAATGTTGTGTAATTAATACTTCTTGTTGTGTGTTGTGTGATCCTGACAAAGTTTCCATTCCACATGCCTAGAAAGGGAAAGGAAATCAGCAAAAAGCATGGAGGGACCTAAACCAATGGCAAAGCACGCTAAAGGGGAAACCCAGTAACATTTGAGCACAACATGCTAAAGGGAAACCAGTAACATTTGAGCACAACATTTGAGTTACACACCCTGGAAAATGGACCAAAAGCTCTAGAGAAAGACTAAACACTAGCTAGCTGGCTCCCTTTTCTGCAGAGAAAGGGATAGCAATTCTGAAACTACTATGTGCATCTAAGATCAGACAAACACAGGAACACGCTGTGAGAACAGAAGCCAGTGCTGTTGCTGTTGAAAAGGAAGCTGAAAATGTAAAAAGGGGAGAAAGAGATGTCCATGCGGTGTTTCTGAGGATTGGAGATATCAGTGTGAAGTTACGTGTTTCAGTACAGAGGAGACAGGGTAGGGGAGGAAGGAGAGATGGAGGGAGACAGTAGAAGATGGACAGATAGACAGACAGACAGACAGATCTATAGTAGAGTGGTTTGAATGGGTATGCCCCGCATGGACTCATGTGTTTGAATGCTTGGTCTATAGGGAGTGGCCCTATTAGGAGGTGTGGCCTTGTTACAGTAGGTGTGGCCTTGTTGGAGGAAGTGCCTCACTGTGTGGGCAGACTTTAAGGTCTCCTATGCTCAAGCTAGGCCCAGTGTCACAGTTCTTGCTGCTTACAGATCAAGATATAGAACTCAGCTACTTCTCCAGCACCATGTCTGCCATGTCCCACCATAAGGATAATGGACTAAACCTCTGAAACTGTAAGCTACCCCCAATTAAATGTTTTCCTTTATAAGAGTTGCCATGGTCTTGGTGTCTCTACACATCAAAAGAAACCCTAAGACAGACAAACAGACAGGCAGATAGATGATTGATAGACTGATTGCAGAAAGCTAGATAAATGATAAACAGATAAGTGATAGATGTTTGATATATTTATAGATGATAGCTATACAAATAGAAAAATAATAGATGATAGATGACATCTAGATAAACCAACACATGATTGATAGTGATAGAGAGATAGATAATAGATGGCAGATAGATAAGCAGATAGATGATAAACAGATAAATGATACATGGTTGTTACACTGATTAATGATAGATAAATAGTGAGATAATAGTTAGATGATCTCTTGATAAACAACCACATGGTTGATGATTGATAGATGATAAATGGATGAATTGAAGCCCTGAATGGACCATGTATATCAAACCCCACTCCTGCCCAAGGCTCAGGGAGCACCATGGAATAGGGCAAAGAAAGAATGAATGTAGAGCTGGAGGGTGGGGAGGAATGCTGGGAATATCTTCTTCTGGAACTCTCTGCAGCTATGGTCACCTGCACAAGATCAAGACAAGATGATTCAACACTCTAGCAGCACTAACTGAACTCAGTGGGTTGCCAGAAAAAGGAAGGGATGGGAAGCAAGGCAGAGGGAAACAGTTGGGGGCGCCTGGGTGGGTGGAAGGGGAGAACTGTGGTGGGTATGACCAATATATGCTGTTTATTATGTATCGAACTGTCAATAAATCGTTGCTGGGGCTTCTCTTGTCCCGCAAGGTCCCACTGCCCTTCTCAGCCCCAAATGAACACACAGACATATTAATCATTAAACTGTTGGCTGATGACTAGGGCTTCTTATTGGCTAGCTCTGTCTTAATTATCAACACATCACACAGACATATTAATCATTAAACTGTTGGCTGATGTCTAGGGCTTCTTATTGGCTAGCTCTGTCTTAATTATCAACACATTTCTATTAATCTATGCATTGCTATGAGGCTGTGACTTACCTGCAATCCAGCATGTTATTCCTTGGGCATCATGGCGTCCACTTGTGGTGCCTCTCTGCCTACCTCTCCCAGAATTCTCCTCGTCTCCTCATCCCGCCTGTCTTCCTGCCTCATTGGCCAAGCAGTGTTTCATTCATCAACCAATAAAAGAAATATATACAGAAGGACATCCCCTCATCGATGAGTAAATAAAAGATTTTTTTTTAATAGGAGCTCTGACCAGGGTGGAAATCTCCAACAGAAGTTTCTAACCTAGTGACATGTCACACTGTATCAGGGTAGGCTTATAAGAGGATCAGTCCCTGAGTACTTGTCTATAGTTTATTCAGGACAGTTAAGACCAGTTAGAAACTGACATGATTTTTCTTAATACTATGTATCAACAGTCATAATACCAGGAAAAAAAATTCCACAGCATTTTTTCACTAATTTGTATAAACTTTGGGTCTAGTTAATTTTGGTATGTCATGTTTTTATTTATTTGCAAGAGTTTTTTATAATAAAGTTTTTTTAAAAAAAGATAAGATTTACTAGTGTTAGTTATAAATGATTGTGTCTGTTATGGCTGAGATTTCACAACCTGGCCATCACCATCACAATAGCATATTTTTATGACCTATTATTTGACAGACAGGTGATGAAAGATTCAGGTGAAAGTTTACAACAAACATACGAATAAACTCAGGTATGTG